TTTTGTTGGTCCTTCATTGTTTAGCTGGAAGCAGCAGCTGCTCTCAGACGCTCTTACGCTCTTCTTTCTTCATGTATCCCACGGTAAGAACTGATAATGTTATTCTGTCTACTTTGCACCCATCCATCCCTGCACATTCCTGGTTATATGGCTCTCTCAGTGTTGATGGGAGGTAGGGAGACATGCCTGAGGGGAAATGTGGGCTATGTAACTGAGGGATATCTTCAAACATGAGGTTTCCATCAGTATTTGCTTAAATCAGTCTACAATTAATCTGTCCAACTTATCTGTCATGTTCTGCATTCAGGCAGCAGAGAAGAGGCTCAAAGTTCCTTTTTCGCGTCATGTCTCAGGCAGCAGTGCTACGCATGTTTACTGGGGAATAACAGTGACACTCTAGTGATGGCTTAAAAGAATGTGATTCTGCTTAGGATGACAAAGCAAGGGGCACTAAACTCCATGAGTCCATGAGTCTTATTTCCAACATCATGGGAAGGATTTGGCTGCAGGAATGTTTCCATGTGTTACACTAAAAGCGCCTTTCTCTTGCTCCTGGTGTGAAGGCCACGAATATCAGACAGGATGGAAGCAGGAGAGTGGTCTAATGTGGTTTCCCATAAATGTAGAAATATTTTTGAAACATGGATGCAAGACATACACCTATATTTAAATTCAGTCATGTGAAAACAGCTATGCCACTTGATTCTGAGGATATTTCTCAAAAGAAAGTCCCATTGAGTTCAGTGGAGCTTATTTCCAGACAAATGTACATAGTATTTCACAAAGGTAATTCTTTTTAATATCCATGGTGATACGTGTGTGTGCACATATGTGTGTTCATTGTTTATGTAGATTTGAGATAGAAAGAGAACCAATATTAAATTTAATATATATTGTGGATGGCATAATGATATCTGGGAAAGCAACAAGTGATTTGGATTTTAAGCAGCTTCAATATGGCAGCTTGTGGTTTTTAAAACTACTGACCCTAATTTATCATCACTTCCAAGCTTTATTTAAATATGCTCCTTCTTAGTGTTGTACCATTCTGGCTATGGGGATCACTAAATTAGTCATAGGAGGAAACTGCAGAAATACATGCCAGACTGATCAATCTCCCATGCTTGCATTCACCTTCTCTAATGTGAAGTGGAATTTCCACTAAACTCATTAGAACTGGGAAATGTAGGGTTAAATTCTAGCCTTTTATTGCTTTTTAATTTGTATCATTGCTATCTACAGAACTAGTAGTTATTGTGGGGTAAACTGACCGGTATTGTGATGGTTTCAGTGTGCATCTAAAAGGGTACAAGGGATGATCCCATTCTCCAAAGGCAAGTTCAGATAACAAGTTTAAGAGGAAGGGGGAAAGAGCTGCTCCCCCCACCCCCACCCCACAACAGAGTCTAAGGAAAAGCAGAAATTAAAATGAAACTTTTTTAGATGTCTATGTCCATCTCTGCTCTTAGGTTCCCTTAACTCAGTGGTCTGTCCACTGTAGGCATTTTTCCATTTCATTTTTCTTCTTCTTTTAAAATCCCCAAAGACTAAAAAACTGGAGGTACAGAATAATGTAGGTTGGGCTCTATTTCAGTCTGTGCCATGACCAAGTTTTAGGAGCCATCTCATCAGCTGAACATTGGTGACATATTCAAAGAAAAAAGGAATTGCTGTGTTAATCTGGTCGAGCAAAAATAAACTGGCATATAAAGGGATTTTAAAGATTTAATTCCAACTTAATGTTTTGTGAACAAACACTCACATTCTCAGATGTCCATGAAAGTTGATACAAGAAAAATCACATTAGTCTTTAAGGCGCAAAAATATTCCGTTTTATCTAGAAGGGTTGCCAACTCTGGGTTGGAAAATTTGGGGGTGGAAGGTAGGGTTGGGGGAATGGAGGGGCTCGGTGGAGCTCCGTAGAATACACCCTCCAAAGTTGCCATTTTCTTTAGGGGAACTGATCTCTGTAGTCTGAAGATCAACTGTAATTCTGGTCAATCTCCAGGACCCACCTGGAGACTGGCAACCCTATCATCCAGACAACATCGATTTTCTGATTTATATTTATAAAAGAGTTGAGTCTCTAAGAAATATTTAGCGAGCAGAAAAAATTATTTAGCAAGCTAAAATATTCTCATTTAGATAGTTTATTTGGCTATAATGTGCACGATCCACTTCCTTACTTTCTGAAGGAGATCTGGAAAACATGGGTGAGAGAAGATAATGTTATCTTTATCCTTACATAATTTGTTAGCCACCTGAGTGGTCCTTATAGGGTAGAAAGACAGGATATAAATTTTGGGAAATAAATAAATGATCCTAAATGCATTATTCTATTTAAATCAATGAAGCTGATTTTTTCATGTTTCGAAGGAATTTCAGCACACACACCTGTGCATGCCACATTCCAGTGTCCACTTTCCCTAGGCAGATAAATGGCTCAGCAATGGAGGAGGGCTGAGAGAGACCCTAGGAAGGTACAGCTGGATTAGAACTATTGAACTAAATGGATTGTGTGACTTTATATCCAAACTAATAGTGGTTGATCTAAAAATCAAATCTGTGATGATTAATCTATGATGGCTCATTCACATGCACAAGTTACCATCTGAGGCAAAAGGCTCTCAGTGTGCCCACCATACATTTGAGACTGTATAGCTGCCGACTTCCAGGGTGAGGGGTTCAAGACTGTAGAAAGATATTTTGCTTTAGTGTGCATTCTCCCAAACATGCAAACAAACTTTTCATCGCCTGTATTCGTATTTTTCTATGTGAGATCCCAGGAGAGCACATCTTTCACCGTGGCATTTACAAATGTTCATTGGCTTTAGGGCAGACATTTCTAGCATCTCTGTGCCCCCTTCCTTCTAAGATGTATTATACTGTTCTGTGGTTCCTTGTCATTCTAATCCCAGATGCTTCCTTCACTGATTCTGTATCTGAAATCCCCACCTTTTCCTCATTGTCTTTCTATGAGAAATCTTTTTTCAAATCATTATGTTTATTTTCAGACAGGGGCTTTCTGGTGCTCAGCCCCAGGGGCTTTCTGGAGCTCAGTGACAGCACTGAGGCTCAGCCTAGATTAGTCAGACCATAAAAAGGCTTCCACTGAGTTTATGGTACACAAGTGGGATGTGCATGTATTCAGAAACCATCCCCTTAAAAGAATGCTACAAAGCAAAGACTGTGGTGACATTAACAACTGAACTGCATTTATAGTATATTCCCATATATCTGTTTGTTACCTTAAACAGCCTTCTCCTTGCGGTACCCTCTCCTAAGATTATCTATTCAGCGACAGCTGAGTCAGGGACCTTCTTTGTGGTTGGTCCAGTTCTCTGAAATGGCCTACCAGAATGGGTGCCAAGGGTGCTTTCTGTGGCTGCTAGACAGTTCTATATTAGAGGGCATTTGGTAGAGGGGGAACTTTTTTGGCATGTGTTTTTGTTTTTGTGTCCTGGCCATTTGTTCCATTGTTAGCTGTGCACCTAAGGCAGGATATAAATATTTTAAATACATAACTATTTGTTTTATCACTAAAATGGGTGGGGGGCATTATAAACCATGACCAGTACAACAATTGAGCTGCATAACTTCTAACTCAGTTCAGGGTTGGATGTAGCAGAGTGACAGATTTTTAAAATCTGAAAATAGCTTGAGTTCCTCCAAAATATTCCTGCTCTGCCCCTTTTTTGCATAAATCCTCTCCATTATGATAGTATACCTTTATGAATTGTGGCACACTGAGGGTGCGTTCAGACGGTGCAGTTTATGCCGGCTGAAACGCGATCACACTCACCTCCATTTTGCGGATCCCATCGCTGTATGCCCACTCACACGCTGCGGGCGTCGGCTTTTTTTTTTTAACTCAGTTTGAGCATGCGCATAGGCAGCCATTCACAGAATGGCAATCTTTGCGCATGCTCAAAACACCCCATATTACATTTAAACTTTAAAGGTAAGGACTTACCTTTAAAGTTTAAAGACCAAACTGGCCTCCCTGAAGTCCCAGACTCCTCCAAAACGCTACACTAAGGGCTTTTTTTTAAAAAAAAAATGCTCAGGGCGAAGCTCCGCCCAAGCGCACATCACTTAGTTTTAAAAAAATGGCGGGGGGAAATCGGAAGCCTCAGGCTTCCGAACGGAAGTGGCTAGACACCAGTGGAGAGAGATCAGACGGCGGGGTTAAGCGAATGCAACTGTTGCACTCAGGGTACCACCACTTGGGGACCTATTGGCAGAGTGCAACGGTTTAAAGGGCTTTACAACGTTAGGGAGGGAAGACAGATGTTCGCCGTCTGAACGCCGGTAAGTACAACGATTGCAACCAGCGCAGATTCTGTTGTAAAGCCCCCATCTGAACGCACCCTGTGGATTACAAACAGTAACATCTTGGCAGTTGATCCAGGGCAACTGGAAAGACGCATAAAGAGCATCCTGTATATATTATTGTGCTTTCAAAAGAAATAAAATCTTGTGGAATGAAGTACCAGTCCTAAAATGAAAAAAAAAATAACACAAGACTGTGCAATGCTCTTTCCTATTGACCTCATTGGATTTGGCAATGGGGAGGAAGATCTGGCTGCTGGTGTCTGTGAGAGGCTTTCTTCATGGGATTATTGATCCAAACTGGAAAAGATCCCCTGATGGAAAAGCGCTCTGTTCAGATTAAAGTCCAAGATTTTGAGAGGATGCCAGCCTTCAGGTGGGTCCTAGGGATCCCCCAGAATTACAGCTCATCTCCAAACTATTAAGGTCAATTCCCCTGGAGGGCAAACTCTATGGCATTGTATCCCACTGAGGTCCCTGTCCTCCTCAGCCTCCATCCCCAACTATCCAGGAGTTTCCCAACCTGGATCTGTCAGCCCCACCCCCTATCCCCTCTTGGTGGTCAGGGGGGACATGGCAACCCTACCCAAAGCCCAGATAGCAGAGCAATGCGACTGGCAACAAATAGATTGTGTATTCATAATGCACTTCTTTTCTTCTGATTCTAGGTAAAGGAAGGTCTTTGTTCTCAGTGGACTTTCCAGGGCTTGACCATGGCCATCATCTCCATATTGCTTTGCAGAGTACAGGGTGAGTCTAATATGATCAATGACTTGTGAGGAAATGTTTAATTAATAAGAATTAGTCTCCACTGGTACACAGTTCAGCATATAGAGAATACATTGGTTCTCCTTTTGTGAAAGTACCAAACACACATGTGAATATGCCACCACTATCACTATCTCAAGACGTATGCTTTTGATAAAAGCTTTCTTCATTTCATCTGTCCTATTCCAGTCATTTGGCAAAATCATATAAAGAACTGATCATGTAACAAAGTACCTGAGAGAGAAAGACCAGATGTACTGGGAGACTTGGACAAGCAGCAGTAATCTGTGGAAATGGGTCCCACATATTCTGGGGAACAAGATACTAGCTGTGGGACCAGGAGACAATGGGTTGAATATGAAGAAGAAGAAGAAGAAGAAGAAGAAGAAGAAGAAGAAGAAGAAGAAGAAGAAGAAGAAGAAGAAGAAGAAGAAGAAGAA